AATGCTATCAGGCCCAGTGGGAGCCAGAGCTGTGGAGGAGGGGTTGAGGTGATGGTTCTGATCTTAAAAAGCCAAGCAGGGAAGGAACAGGGAAGATGGCTTCCAGCGCCTTCCTGCTGCCTGCTTTGATCACTCCTCGGGACATCCCATTGGCCATACCCTAGAGAAGCCAGCAGGAAAAGATGGACGAGGAGTGGACTTCACTGGGACTAGAGTCGGAGTGGAGGAGGGAAGAGGATGACTCTAAGGAGAGTAACCATTATACCGTTGATCTGTCTGGTCCCTGGCTCTTCCTAGGGACAGGCATCTAGGTGGATGTTCAGATGGGAGGGACAAGCATAGGGCTAGGCAGACATGGCAGTCATGCTTGATGAGCCACGGGAAAGTTCACCAGTAGGGTGGAGAGGTGGGGTTGTAGAGAGAAGACTGAGTGTACTGAGTGAGAGAAAGAGTTTAACTCATTCTAGCGTCCTACCATCTACTAGCTGTGTGATTGTGGGGGAGTCTAGTCACAGTGTTTCTAAGTATCCACTTCTCCTGATACAAAACAAAAAGAGGAGTAATGATAATAAGTGACCCTGTTACATTTTCATATCATGTTCAGGCACAAATGTAAACAATGAAGTTAAAGAATCTCATACACATTAGCTCTTATTGTATGATCACAGATACAATTTTTGTAGGGCTACAATGGATTTTAAATCACAAGCCAGTTGCCTAGTCATAAGCAGATTACTCCCTAAATATCTAGGAGCAGTTTTACATGATCAACTGCTCTGTAAGTTGGAACAAGTGACTTTGAAATCGCCTTGCGTTCCTATTTGTGTGTGTGTGTGTGTGTGTGTGTATTTATTCCTCAAGAATAATATCACTGACTGGTGGGCAGTAGAATATTGTGCTTTCGGAGGAAAAATGGTATTTGAAATCTGATCACTTCTCTTGAAGAATTCGTGAGGAAATTGCCCGGGTTAGAGATCATTACTAGGAGTAATGGTAGGATTTATAGGATAGAAAAGCAAATTTGGACTCATTAAGTAGAGAGAATTTTCTAACAATTAGAGTTGATTAACTTGGAAATGAGTGCCTAACTTGGAAATGACACTGAAGGGGGCTTTGAGGAGCGTTTACTTGTGGCCCTAGAGAATGCCCATAATTCAGGAGAAGCACAGAGAAGAGAGATGCGAGGAAACACAGAGCTCAGCATCTTGAAGTGATAACCTTTACAATTTTAAACTTCTCTCCTCATGTATGTACACCTGTCAGTAGGTATGCAGCCTTACATACCTACCTGGAATAATACCGTATGGAGATACATGCTAAATTGTTTACATTAAAATATAGGTAGGGTATTGAACTTTTTTTTAGGCCAATACGTATAGACTCGTACCATTCTTCATCTAATTTTTGTATCATTTTTATCTTTCTTGTTGAGAATATGCACAGCAGACCTGCCCCAATTCATCAATTTCTACCTATACCATTCAGTGGCCTTGTCTACCTTCCTTGAAGTACACCTTCATACGTACACTCCTTTTCTGAGCTGTTCTTTCTTGAATTGCAAAGACCCACTGCCTCCTCAGAGTCCTATCTCATCTCTGGAGTTGCTTGGTCATTTTGATCCCGTCCTGGTAGATCTGAAGAGGACACAAAGCTCCTGACAAGCAATCCTGACCAGTCAAGCTGAACAGAAGCCTTTGGGGGAGGGGGGGGGAAGGTGTTGGGGTTTAAAGTTTAAAGATGATCTCAGGACAAAGGTGTCAGGGCTTAGCCAGCCCTCCAGAACTCCTGCCGAATGTCTGGATTCCATGAGCAGTTGAATCTCTTTCCTACTGTTTCCTCAGCTTGTTTGGGATTTTCCTCTAAGAATATATGGTTAAGATGGCCTCACCATGATTTTTAACTATAATATACGTAGTCCATTCTCCCCACACCTATCGAGTCCTGATATTTCAGAAGTGGTGTTGGTTTGGGAGAGCTGACCAGTTTAGTCACCCTCTTGTTTCAAATCCAAGACGTGCTGATATCTGACTGTAGTCGGGTGGATTGATCAGTCAGCTTCACGGGGCACAAAGCAGTGTCAGAAATCATTGCGTCTTTAACGGGTCTTTGTTGTTCGTTTCTTGTCCTGTGCTGCTTGTGTCGACATCGTTCATTACATGACAGCGGTCGTCCCATCTCCACCCCAGCACGTTGAGCTTGATGCAAGGTTTCTGGCCCTCCAGCTCAGAAGGCTACTCCTTCCCGTTTGCTTGTAACGTGGGAGAGCAGCAGGCCATATGCCGTGCTCCGGCTACGCCATCTTACAGATGTTCTGTGCTGTAGACTATGGAAGTGACCCCTACGAGGCAACTGAATAGCTTATCACAAGACCTTTCTGCCCCATGAGCAAATCAGTAAGAAATACTTTAGTTCACCTTATGATCTCATATCCTATGCAATTTCACTGACCGATGAGCGGAGACCGTCGCTAACATAGACAGTAAGCACCTCATGAGGAGTGTTATGTATCTGGTAGGCCGCCTTTTGGGAGACAGTGGCAGCTTTTCCTTAAGGAAGCGTGGGGAGGGCAGGGACCTTGGCGTGTGTAGCTAGGCCAGACTCACCCCCGGCGTTCTCATGGCAGGTCTTTGAGATGGAGATTTCCAAACAGCTGCATGCCTACGAGGTGGAATACCACGTGCTGCAAGATGAGCTTCAGGAATCTTCCTATGCTTGTGAGGACAGCGAACCCGTGGAGAAACTGGAGAGGGCCAACAACCACCTGAAAAGGCAAAACATGGACCTGCTGGAAAAGTTACAGGTAAGGACACAAAGATGTAACTCGCAAAAGTACTGGCGTGC